TTTGACTTAAAAATAAAACTCTCAGAAGACCCAGTGTCACATAAGATTTTAACTGGCACTTTAACAGAACTTATACTCAACGAAACAAACCCTGAAGTAATAAACGGACCATAATCTGGCGAGGATTTTAGAGGGTCATGACTGTGGTCTGGGATTTCCCCAGACAATGCTGTGCGAGCGCATATTAGATAATCGTCCAGGTAAGCGGATATGCATAGACCCTTGTGTCTCAGCGGAGACAGCGCTGCTTCCATGCATCTGCTAAACACCGGCGGAGCTAGACTGAGCCCGAATGGAAGAGTAACAAATTCGAACACTTCATTCTGAAAGGGAAACCTGAGATATTTTCTGTGTGCTGGATAAATGCTTATATGAAAGTAAGCATCCTTGAGATCGATCGCGGCAGACACAGGGAATGAAGTGCTCTGTGACAACGCACTTGCGAACGCGTGCCTGAACTCGGCAGACCACATGGTGGCCGAATGCTCTGCAAATGAACTTGTGGAATTGCCGTCGGCAATCCACGGAATATTGTGTGTTGAGGGGAAGCTGAACTGGCCTGAACACAACTCTGAACCATTTCTCCACCTAAATTCCACCTCCTCTGCATTTTTGCGGGTGGGGAAACAAATGCGGCAGACTGTGGAGAAGACATCGCAGAAAACCCTAGGTGCTGCCCGTCTCTCCTCTCCAAGCATAGCGTCCTAGGAGTCCCCCTTCTTTTTGCCAGAGGGGTTAGCGGATCACTGCTTTCCCCTTGGCTTAGCCTTTGGATCAGCGGGGGTGCGGGCCCTCTGCTCTGTGCTGTGGGGTTTAGGCAGTCTGGACGCACTAACAAATGTTCTGCCCTGCGTCGGAGGAATGGGCCGAGTAGCAGGAACAGGAGGACGTGATGTCCTTTTACGAGGCAAGCAGAAGTCAAAAGTCTCCTCATCCTTCTTCTTAAGGTCACATCTCTGCCTCATCGACACGACTGACTGGCCGAATATCCCACTCGAGTCTACGGGAGCGTAGAGATGATCCAATTTTTCCCTGTCCCCGATACTCGAGAGATTCAGCCACAGTGATTGCTCGCCCTGCGTGAGGCGCTCAGATAGAGGTCTGTAATGTTACAGATCTCTCCCCAGATCGCCAGGTTTGGATTGCCGGCGTCCAGCTGCGTGCCAAGCTCCTCCAATAATTCGGCTTGATAGGCTGTCAGCAATGAAGTGATGTTCAAAGCCCTCACTGTTAGTGCCAAAGATTTATATATATTCTGGTACATGGAAGCAGTGAAGCGTTCCATTTTACCAGGGAGGGACGGTGTGGCCGATGAAACAGCAGCCCGCCTGTTTGGATGCAGGTGAAGAGCCACCGTCTGCTTGACCACGGGAGGGTTAAAGAGCCCTAGCCCCTCCATCTCACTCACGTCGAGCAATGAGTAACACTTGACAGGCACGCGTTTGGTAAAGGGTTTATCCCATGACCGCTTCATCTCCGTGATGCAATCTGGGAGAGCGGGAAGTAGTTGTTTTGCTAGGGAGCGAGCCTTTTCCCGTAACATCCCGTTTAACTCCTGGATGACCTCATGTTCTCATCATCCTTCTCCTCATCCCCTTCCATCTCATCACCGCCCGCCAGTAGCTGCTGGTCGAACAGCAGCTCATACTCAGGGGATTCTACCTCCATGATATCCGCCCATGAAGCAAGATCCCATGGAGAGGATTTGACGTCATTAGCTGACGACAGAGCGGCAGAGAGAACCGGATCGTCCTTGGAAGATGCCGCCACTCGAAGCCTTCTCTCCAAAATCCTCATCTGCATTGCCTGGCAGTGCACTCATCTGCATTGCCTTTTCGGTGTTCGCCAACGAGGCCTGGGCATGCTTCACACCCATACATGCAATGCACATCGCATGTGAATCCCGGCCCGAGATCATAAATCCGCACGCTGAAGGACAGGAGCGCGAAGAGGTCTCCTTCCCCTTTTCCACCGTGACTTTAGACATGGTGAGACAAAATCACAGTTAGCTCGCCTTAACGCGTTAGCTATATCAGTCGCTGCTAGTAAAAGCAGTAAAAAATACTTCGTAACGAGCAAAGAACCCACGACAGATTCAATATGATTGAGCTGCGTTCGGCAACGTTAGCCTTGATGGTACGTTTGAGAACAGAGCAGCGCAGCCTGGGTGTTTAAGGAAAGTCTTCATGAGGAAGAGTGCTAGAATGCTGATTCAGGGAATCACAGCGGACTATAGAGGGTGGGCTCCTAATCGCGAGCTGTGATTTGTCCGTCCTCAGAAGGATGTGGTGTAATTAGTGCTTCCATAGTCTGTCACGCCTGAGGCGTTTCCTACGGTGGCCCAATAGTGCAAAACAACAACATTAAGATGAAAACGCTGCAACATGAACACAACAACATTAAGATGAAAACACAACAACATTAAGATGAAAACACAACAACATTAAGATAAAAATGCTGCAACATTAAGATAAAAACACAACAACATTAAGATAAAAATGCAGCAACATTAAGATGAAAACACAACAACATTAAGTTAAAAACGCTGCAACACTAAGATGAATCATGCTGCAACACTAAGATGAAAAGTGCTGCAACTTTAAAATCACAACACAACGGAAATGCTCCTGACCACTAGGTGGCAGGTAACGGGCAGTAGTGTGCCCATCTTAAGAGTTTTAGTTCGAAAGTTTCGTTTCATTTCGGACGTTGCTCTTGGTAGCAATCATGTATTGCCCATTTTGCGGGGCTTCACTTGACAGTTGCCCGTCATTCTGCAGCAAATGTGGAAAAAACATAACGTTTCTGAAAGGCAAAGTTCCTGATGGAAATGAGCCCAGCACCAGTGGAGGTAAGTTACAATGCTGTATTGTTTGTAGGGTCCTATGAATTTCATAAATCGTATCTGTCATGAAATCGAATAACACGGTTTGTCATGGAATTTTCTTATTTTTTGATGAATATATTAAAATAGCGTTGTAACATTACACCTCGTTAAATCACGATCCCGAGGATTTATGTTAATTGGACATGCTGTTTTATTTCTAAAGAATGTTTTATTCTTTTTAATATTTAATGCAGATTTTCGTTAGCTGATTAATGTGACATGCAATAGATTTTTATGACAATGTTTCTGAAGCAGGAAAAACAGAAACAAGTTCTGTGGATTGCTTTATGAAGTTCAGGGCAATAAAGGAGAAGGAGAGGAAAACCTTTTTTACAAAGAAAAGTCATGCCTCAAAGAAGGATAAAGAAGTAAAGGTAACTTATACATCCAGTAGTGATCTAGTAAGACACTTCTGTTTAATAATTACTATAAATTAAAGGATACAGTGTATTATCAGAAACACTTTACAATACGTTTGTATTAGTTAATTTGCATTAATTAATAATAAACAATACATTTGTTAAGCATTACTTATATGTGTGTGTGTGTGTGTGTGTGTGTGTGTGTGTGCGTGTGCGTGGGTGCGTGTGTGTGTTAATGCATTATTAATCATAAACATAAACGTCCCTGGCTGTTATGTTTGTGGACTCTTTACTAACATGATTAGTAACACAACATTTCTTAAGCACATTAGGAATCTTTTGTAATTGTATGTTCAGTTGTATATAAACATCTTTGGATTCATTACAAAGCAGTGATTAGTGATTTTGCTCAAGCGAACCTCAGCCGTGGTACTGAGGTGAATATTTCCACCAACAATCCCTGCTGGTCCTGGCACTTTGAACCTGCAACCTTTGGATTATCCAAGTCCAACTCTAACCATTAGGCCACAGCTTAAAAAGAACACAATATAAAAAATAAAAAAAGTAAAACAAAATATATTAATAATAAAATAATAACAATAACTTTTTCAATAAATAATCATGTTAAAAAAGTTAAATGTTAGTGATACATTAGCTAGTGTTGTTGTTGTGTACACTTTAAAGTTCATTATTCCTTTAACAAATGCTTTGTTAATGATAATGCTAGTAAAGAATTTACAAATGTTAGTAAACCATTACATAATGACAGAGTAGTGTACACTTAACAAAAAGGTTCCTAATTCCCTAAACAAATACTTTATTACTGATAATAATCATGTTTGTAAAGAGTCCACAAACATGACTAACATGACAGTTTTAGATTGTGTAATTTAAAAAAAAAATTTATTATTTGTTCATGTTAACTAATGCATCAAGTAACATTATTATATTTTTAAGTTTACATGAACAAAGGTTTAGCATTGTTGAATTAATGTCTGGTTCATAGTTAGGTCACGATATCTAATTCATTAACAAAATACATTTATGTATGTGTAAGTGGTTAAACATATATTAGCATATGAAAAAGATTTTGTAATGCTGAACAAAGCCATAACTAATTAAACATTATTGTAAAGTGTTACTTCGTATCACGAATATCTGTTTGCTCAGGAATTCAGTTCAGGGTTAGATTGAGGAAGTGTAGATACTACTTTCAAAATCATGTTTTTTCTTTAATCAGTCTTTAATGTTTTTTTTCATAACAATTATATTAAAGCCTATTATAATGTCCAGTTTGTTACATTTGTGTTAATTCTTTTCATGTGTAGATTTACATTGGAAGTATGGAAAGACATTGTGGTGTCCTAAAGCCCCTGAAAGGGAAACGGCTGCCTCTTGAAGTTGAAACAAACTGGACATCTGAGCAAGTGTTAATAGCTGGCCAAAAGAAAGTAAAAGATTTTAATCAGGACATGGAAGATGGGCCTTATGTTTTACTGTACCCAGATGGTTCAGAGGTTAAGAATATTCCAGGAACAAACACCCCTTTTAAACTACAGCTGTACAAAGAGGCAATTGGGAAGGCTTACCAAAGAATAACACTGTATATATGCACAGTTGAAGACTTTTTTGCCACTGGTGAGCATATTTATTTTAAAGGAAATCTAATAAAAATAATGTATAAAACATGACATATACATGTTTTTTAATTGAATCTAAATTTTACTATGTTCATATTTGTTGTTTGAAGACTGTAATGAGGATTCCTCAAGTGAAGACAGTGTAGTGCAAGTAAAATTTACCTCTCACAGTCAACATGATGAGAATGACACTTTGGTGGGTCATTTATTTGCATATCTCCTAACATAAATATAACATTTAATTGTAGCTCATTTTGACTCCTGCTTTCTGTTCTCTACACAGATATGGGATAGTGCGGATGAAGCAGGAAGCAGCTCACACCAGTATTACCTTAGTAAAGTTAAGAGGACATTTTCTGAAGTGCAAGTGTTGCACAAAATAATCTTTGGTTGTTCTTTTTTTAGACCACCTGATCACTCTTTGCCTGTTCAGGAACAAGTAAGTTAACCTATGTTACAACTTATGTACATTACAACTTTAAGGCTGATGCACACCAATACGATTTTTAGTGTATTTCCGAGATGTTTTCATACCTAAAAGGTATTCATACCTAAGTGATTTTTGCTGGCATTGAGCTAAGTGAATGTGCAAACAAAAGTTGCTTAATGAAAAACAGAAATATCCCATTACACCTGACAATCACTTGTCATACAGAAGAAAGACAGTTTTTACTCATTCGTTAAAACATATTGATGTTTGTCAAATGTATTTACTTGTTTGTCAGCCTATGTGTATGAAAGAAAGGTAAAATAAAACTTGCAGTCAAATCCTATTTTATCTGTGGTATAATTTGAATGGGAGTGAGGCAGGCAGTGTAACAATATCCCATTACCAACATCTTTTCAGACCAACACACTCCACTTTTTCAAATTTTTATTGAACAAAGGTATAGTATACGCTCAGGGCTCTGCACTGCAAGCATGAAGCACTGCTTGTGCATTATTAACAGAATTGTCCTTGCTGCATACTGGCCTCAGATCAGGCTTTTCTGGGGGTAAATGCAGTACTTTTTGTGAGTGTATAAGGGCCTCAGAAGGAACAGGCAAGTTTTCAATGTGTGACAGAGCAGAGTGCCACAAAACCATTTTATGCTTGATGATCTACAAGTCATGATTTGCTGTAAGTTCAGCAGGTCCAAGCATTGGAACCAAATTGCAAAGCTTATTGGTTGACCAGTATTTTCTGCAGTTTGTGAAGCAAACCAAAAAAAAAAGAAAAAAAAAACTGTCTCCCTTTGTTTAGTCATAAGGCATTGGTCATAACCATGAGTGAAAGTTGGCCTGGTGTGCACAAGCCTTTAGTTTGTTACAACAAATCCGAAATTCATTTTTTTTATGTGGTTTATGTAATATTAATTAAAAACAGGTTTTAATTTAAAAATGTGTTCTCTTTCTGACAAATCAAGGAAGCAGGAAAAATCAGAACCAACATACAAGAACATGTACGTGACCAACAAAAATGCTACACGTAAGTTTGTAGTTAAATAGCTTTTTTTTAACTAGATTGTAGTTAAAAAATAAATTGCTTTAAACTAATTTTAATGTTTTAGTCTACAATTATTTTGTATGCATTTTATGCTGTCTTTACAGTAATTACACACGTCTGTATGCACCAATAGTGATTGAAAGTGATTCAGAAGGGTCAGACCAGAGTACACAACATGTTGAAGAGGAATGGATGTAATTTATTAATTATGTTGTTTCTAAATTATTCACTCCATTTTTATAGCATCATGATTGATTGGCTTAATCGAAATCTGTGTTTTACAGCTCAGATGCAATCTCTGCTGCAGACATTGTGTCAGATCTCTCACAGAAGATCATAAGGACGTCTTGCAGTAGATTCAACATAAATCGAGCAAATATTTGGGATGGAGCAGTTCGTGGTTTTAAACGTGCATCATATGATCCATTGCATGACATGCTTGTCAAATTCACAGGTGATGAAGGCTCAACTGAAGATGCAGTTGACACAGGTGGTCCAAAACGTGAGTTTCTAACCCTCCTAATAGACTGTTTAAAAGCACGGCGAATTTTTGATGGACCAGAAAACGGGAGATTTCTCACCTTTAATAATGCAGGTAAATTATTTACTTCAAGCTTGTAACTGCTTAATAATTTACATTACTGTCTTTTTTCACTTAGTCTAGAAAAAATATATTTTCCTGTAGCTTTCAGAGAAGATGAGTACTTCCTTGCTGGCCGGATGATTGCAGTCTCTATTGTACATGGTGGTCCAGGTCCTCGCTTTTTATCGAACATGCTGTATGATTACCTCATTGGTAGGACTGACATTAATGGAACAGTTGAGGATGTAACAGATGAAACCATGAAGGCAGCTTTAATTGAGGTGCGTTAAGTTTCTTTTAAGTCATTTATTTGTTTGTTTATTTAAAGGCACAATATATATTTTTTTTGATTAGATTACAAATAACACACACACACACACACACACACACACACACACACACATATATATATATATATATATATATATATATATATGTGTGTGTGTGTGTGTGTGTGTGTTATTTGTAATCTAATTGCAACCATTTACCCCAGATATCAAGTGCAGAATCACTAGATGAATTGCACGCACTGATTGAGAAGTATGAAAGCTTGCTGCAGACTGCTGGGTGTTTTGATTTCCCACAAAGTGTAAAAGGCAAAGACAACATTGTGAAGGATTTCATACTGTGGTACATTATATACAGAAACCAATACTCTGTACAAAGGTAAGTCTTGTTCCTAATTTGAGATAATATAATAATTATGAGTGAAGTGATATCACTTTGTGATTTCTATTTGGGTTATAGATTTAGGGATGGGCTTTCCACCCTGGATGTCATTAATGCCCTGGAACAACACCCTATTGCATTCAGACCCTATATGTGCTACAGTGTTGACAGTCTAACATCTGTATCTCTGGAGGATGTCTTCAAGCCACAGCTCAGTGAACCTGGTAGCACCAGACGACAAGAAGAAACAAGAATACTGGGATACTGGAGAGACTATCTGCTTGACACTGGAGATAAAGGATTGAACATTATATTTTATTGTTGTTGATAACAAATTTTGTGATATTTTTTTGTTTTTTGTTTAATCTTTTCAGAACAAGAAACAGGAGTCTCCCTCCAGAACATTTTGATGTTTGCCACGGGATTAGATTCACTGCCTCCTTCAACAATTGTGCCACAGCCCAGACTCATTTTTGAAAGGTCTTCTAAATTTCCCATTGCAAGCACCTGTGCCAACACAATCAAATTGCCAGTGTCAAAAAGCTATGATGAGTTCAAAAATGCAATGGATTTTGGAATTCAAAACTCACCTGGTTTCAGATTGCGCTGATTAGTATTAATGTACGGAAAGCCAGTTTTTGCCACTGAACAAATTTTTTTTTTTTTTTAAAGGTTATTGCAAGTTTTCATCTCAGAATTGCATGAAACAAACACAATTTTATTTCTGACTTTATAACTTCTGAGGAAAACTTCAGAATTCTAAGATTTTTGTTAAGAAAGCTTTAGGGTGGCAGGATCAATGATGATAATTATTTTATTTATAGTCTGTAAGACTTATTTGAGTTCATATATAGGTTATTCACTAAAATATATAATTAAAATTGTTTGTGGAGCTGAATGCAGTAAATAGTCTGTATAAAAAGGTCGAAAATAAACCTTTGCAAACAAGCCAGCCTTTATAACCAGATTATTTAACAAAAGATGATACTGCAGTAAAATATTTGTAGTTTTTTAATAAGCATGATGTGTACAAGATAGAGAGGAGATGAAAAGTGAATTGTTTGTATTGAAACTTTTGAATCGCAATTTGTCCAATAATAAACCCGAAATACACGTGTTTATTGTCATGTGGTGAACTCGGCCAATGGTGTAATATCGGTGTCGTCATCAGAGCTCCTGCAGCCGCTCTTCAGATGCTGCACGGTCTAAGTCTGCCGTCTGATCTCAGAGCTTTGATGCCACATGTGACAGTCGACATTGATCTGCGCAGCGCTGCATGAAGTCGAACGCACCTACTACCTGTTCCAAATCACATGATCGTTTAACCAATATATCTGAATATTATTGCCTGACTCATAGCAAGAGGCTTTTTAATCATACAACAAGGGTTAATGGTTATTTTATAATAGTTTTTAATGTAAAAACTAGCTTGCAAATTTGCAATGGAAATTGAGTTTTACACTCACCAAGCTTTTACTTTCTTCAATCCTCAAAAAAAAAAAAAAAAAAAACTCTCCAAAAACAGAGTTGTTAGACATATCACCACCTTTATTTAGGGTCATGTACAGCAGATGGTTTTCTTGCAGTGTCACAGAGCTCCTCTAAAATGAGCTGTGACAACATCGAAACTGATGGAATCTCATTACAATCATAATTGTATGACAATTTTAGTGCAACAACAGACATGTAACATGCCTAATGCAGTAAAGATGTTGGTTGTACAAGACCATACAAAAACAACCTTGTTTGTTTGTTAGATATATCTATGGCAAAAGTGAGTTTGCATTTGTCCTCATAACTTTCTCTGCAAGGACAAAAAGATGCCATGGAAAAGCAAAAGAAAAGAAAGAAAAACAAATCTCAATGGTAGGTCAAAAGAAAACGAAAAGCAAATAAGCTTAGATCACAGAAAGGAGATAAAAGACAAAATCCAAGTCTAGGATTCATGGTAAAATCCAGTGCAAACTATGTCTTTTCTGCAAGTTGTATGTCGACTACAAACTAAAGAAAGTGATAAAAGCAAGAGAAATATATATATATATATATATATATATATATATATATATATATATATATATATATATATATATATATATATATATATATATATATATATTGATCCTGTCTATGTCTACACAATAGCTACACAATGTCCCTGAACAATAGGGTCTGCACAGTACTAGAGGAAATTAATTGTAGAAATTTCAAGTTGGAAGGTTTTCCAAATACAAACAGCAAGTCCACACCAATGAACTCATATTGCTCGGATTTAGTATCTCTATAAAGCTGAAGATAGCTGTACTTTTCCTTTTTGCAGTTTTACCTGTGCACTTTTTAGGGTTGTAATATCAAATGTCGATTCCGAAGCACCAACTTAATTATTTTTTGTTGTTGTTGTTGTTTTTAATCTGACACTGGTCCGAAAAAAAAAGGAAAAAATAAAAGGAATGACATTTTTTTTGTGTGTGTAGTGCAGTTTTCTTAAGGAATTATCACTCTTACACAGTTACCTGATACGCAATAAGAGAAGAGAGTGTATTATTAACTGACGGTTAACTAGTTAAAACCAATGCAGATTTAAGACAAATTCAGCCTAGGATACTTCAGGCAAAACAAAAATAGAGCAAAAGAAAATCGACCTGCTTCGATGACAAGAACAGAGATTCGTCTTTTCGTTTTTCCATTCTTCTGTCAAACGTTAAATAAAAAAACATATATCAAGCATATGTCAGTTAGGCACTCATGACGTGATAAAATCCACATCCACCTCTGAATTTAGGCTAACATTGCACAATATCACGTAAAAATTGCAAATATTTTTGGAGATTAAACATCTAGTCTTTTCGTGTTTTGCATCGTTTCAAGCTTCATTGCATATAGATTGCTTTGCCAGATTCGCTAGCAAAGTAAATGTCAATTTAAACCTAAAATACCAAACCAATTCATTCATCTATCTATCCTCTGCCCACAAGACCAGTCCTTACAGGTAGGGGCAAAATAAATTAGCCTTACAGGAAGAAAGCACCCAAACTTAAGAGATGGTGAAGCACACTTACATACGTTTAAAGCTTATCATCCACAGTGTTTTAAAAGCCTCAAATGGTTCTATCAAAATGTAAACCCCACTTATCTAAACCAGTCAGGTAACTGGAGCTTCCATACTTAAAAACATTTTAAACTTGTTGTCTAATATATATATATATATATATATATATATATATATATATGAAGAATTAGCTTACTTTTCAAATGTAGCACCAATAATTTTTCATGGCAAGTTTTGGGTCTCTAGACTCTATGGTGCACTTAAGAGATAGTCAAGAGAAAAAAAAAAAATGAAAAGAAATAACAAAAAAAAATTAAATAAAAAAGTTACCCCCAGACCAGAGGCTGACCAATTGCTGTAATTCCTCTGGGAATAAAAAGTGCAGTCACAGTTATCTCCAGGACCTAGGGCAGAAAATCTCCCAATTTTCCTCTGACGCAACTAGTGGGGCGACTCCAGCATCTCCATTAGGAAAGTGTCAATGGGGGTGTTTCCAATCAGTTTAAAGAAGAAAAGGTGCTCCAGACACTTAAGGCCAATGGAACGCAATGCAGGAAGCCGAAGGAGGAGCTTGGCAAACCTACGAGTAAGCAAATGAGTGGAATTGTTACCTTGTTCAATACTCAACACAAAACATCAGTATATCAGTTTGTATTCTGCATGACGCTAGATATATTTTTCAACTGTTCCACACTATATTCAGTTGCCCACTTCTGTATTAACAGATTTGACCTTTAGATAGAAACTGCTTGATTCTTGAGCACGATTAAAAAGTTATTTCTGTGCACTACATATACAATTACCTTCATTTTCATTAATTCAGCTTCATTGATGTTTGACATAATCTCAACTGAAATAGGAGAGTGTGGGACATAGTGTAGCCCTTCCCCTTTAAAAAACAGCAAATAGTGTTTAGTTTTTGGGCTCTATTTTAACGATCTTGGCACAAAGTCCAAAGTGCAGGGCGCAAAACCATTAAGGGCATGTCAGAAATAAACTTACTATTTTAAGGACGAAAAAATCTGTAGATAATGATCAGTAAGATGCGTGGAGCACCTTTTAGTGCTATACTCAGATATTCAAAAGACAAATAGTCACCAAATGACATTTGTTTACATTCATACACATCTTTAAACAGGGCAGCGATGCCTCCACCTCTCCTATTAACTCTGCAAACACTCAAAAAGTCAAAGTTTAAAGGAGCTGCTTCATTCAGAACTGCTGCGCTACAACTGTCATCTAGCCAAGTTTCATTTAAAAGCATAAAATCAAGGCAATTTGTGTTGATAAAATCATTGACTAAAAGAGACTTATTGTTGAGTGATCTGATGTTTAAAAGCGCTAACTTAACAGTTTTAGCTGTTTTTTCTATAGTAGTCTCAGATCTACATTTAATAGACACCAGATTTGAATGATTTGCTATACGGCCTGATGAAGTCTTTGGTTTTTTGTCACTTAACACAACATATCTGCTTAGAGAAAGCTACAGACACACTGGGTTCCTGCTTGTTCTGAAAACATTTGATAAAGACACTGTTATCTAAGCAGGTCCCCGACACACATCACAGAGAGCTCTTGTGTTCACCAGCTGAAGATGGGGCGTTGTTGTTTGGGCCCTGGCGGTGTGGCAAAAATCGGAGGGCTCTTCCAGGTGGGCTGTGGTTGTGAAGCAGGCCGCTTTTTGGTTAGTAACTGGGGGCTTGCGGCAATGGAGTGTGAAAGTTTAGTTCCAGCATACACTAGTTCCTCCATCTTTTTTGAAAAACCCAAGAGTGGTGAACATTGTGACAATGAGAACGTGTCCGGTGACAGAGGCTGTGCATCTGGAGATTCTGTCTGCAGAAATATGTTTTCCTGAGGATCATTTTTGAGTGACGAGACTTGATGCTGTTCTGATGCGTCACAGTCTGCCTGTGTTGAGCAGAGGGCAACTGATAGTGTCTCTATCAACATTGGGTGTTTTGGCCGCGTGGCATTATTACTGTCCTTGGTTGATTCGTCAGCCACAAGTCCACTCAGGAGCTGATTTGAGGTCCTGTGGTCATCTGGACATTTGCTAGGTGTGTGTTTGCAATTTAGTTCAGTGGCATACACAGCTGATGGATGATTGAGGGAGAAAAAAATATTGTCCTTTAGCACTTTTGCACAAAGTTTGTTTGGATGAAGGCCGTCTGATGTAAACAGCTGTCTTTGGTTCCAGAAGAGATTGAAGTTGTCGATGAAATTCAGTCCTTTCTTGTTACATGTTTTCTGTAGCCATACATTTAGACCAAGAAGCCGTGAAAACATATTTGTCCCTCTTGCAGGGAGTGGTCCACTTATGAATGGCTGAACCTTCAATCTTTCAACTGTTTCCAAGAGCTCACAGAAATCTTTCTTGAGCAGTTCTGACTGTTCCTTCCGAATATCATTCTTCCCCACATGGATGATAATCCGTTTTGCAGTACTGTGCTTTTTCAGAATTTCCTCAAGTTCTTTGTTTACATCAGAAACTGTTGCATGAGGAAAGCAGTATGTCATAGTAGATTTGCTCCTGAAATTCTTGATATTATATCTCCTACGACTAGTGTTCTTATCTCAGGTGTGATCGGAGCACAATGCCGCTGTCTATTCGGCCTTGAGCCTCTGTTTTTTTTTATGCAGAATTAGTTGCTGAATCATGCGATCTCTGTCTGACTGCATTTGGGGATTCTTCACCCATATTACTCAAAACTTCATATCTGTTCTGAAGCTGTATTTGAGTCCGAGCTGTATTTGGGGTAGAAGATGCTAATGCGGCAGCGTATGATCTGACCCCTCGAGTACCCTTTGGTCTCGCACCTTGTTTATGCCAATGCTCATTTTCAACAGTT